CCACACAGCAAGGTAATATATTGGCAATATAAATAACTAAAAGCAAATTTTTTATCTTTCTTGACATGCAATGATAGTAAGAATAGTAGAAGTAGAAGAAATAATAATAAGAATAATGTACAACTTATATAATATTAATGTTTATTTATTTTCTAAACTGTATTCAAAATGTATGTAAAGATTTATTTTTGGAGTGCTGTATTTTCTAAAATGTCATGAATATTACTTAAAATTGCTAAAGTTATACACAATACCTAAAATTTAATAATAAATTAAACTGGATAAACATCAAATTTAATAATAAATTAAACTGGATAAACTTATCATTTATTACACTGTGTCTCAGAAGTGCCCATAAAATGATTGGCCAAGCTATATACTAAGTAAATATTCCAACCATTTTTGTTTTCTCAGCTCAGCATTTTATTTATATATATAAATAAATATAAAACAATAAACAATCATAATCTCTTAAATTATCTTCCAAAATGCTATTATTATTGGGCCACCACTAAGTAATTAAATTTGATTTGTATCTACATTAATTAATTAACCTTAACATTTCCCAGAACAGTTAAGCTAATAATAGATTTTGGAAGACCAGATTGTATTTTGTTATAATTATTTCCACTAAACTAGCATCATTAGAGAATAATCATCAGCTGCATTTTACATGTGTGGCTATCATCTCTCGACCACAAATCACACCAGTGCATTTTTAATTTATTTTTTTCATTAGCTATTAATATTAGACAGAATTCCCTACTGAAAGTTAAGATTGCTTGGCATGGGCTTACACTATCATTGACTGAGCTTATCCAAAGCATGTGCTTTTAATTACATCCCTTAAGTGGATTTTTACAGTATGGTTTTAAGAGTTTTCTTGATAATACATTTTTTTAGATACTATAATAACAATTATTACTTATCAGTATTTATACCCAACTATATATTTGATCTTAGAAAGAGTCAATATGAAACAACTCAAGTCATTTATATATGAATATGAATGACTAGGTACAAACATTATTCCATTAAATATTCAAATGCCATCTTCAACACTTAAAAGCAAGACAAAGGATTGGGAGACATAAGTGTTCTGACTACAAATAAAAATGTTGGTACTTAGAGTTGAGGAGAGGGCTCAGTTGGCAAAAGGTCTGCCACACAAGCATGAAGACACAAGGTTGGATCCCTAGCAGCATGTAAAAAGAAAAGGAATGCGGTGCACATCTGCAACTCCAGCCCTAGGAAGCCAGACAAGAGAATCCTTGGAGCTCATTTTACAGCCAGACTGGCCAGTTGATGAGCTCCAGGTTCAGTGAGAGAGTCCGTCTCAAAAAATAGAGTGCAGGAAGACGGACATTAACATCTGACCTCCACAAGCATATGCATATACATGCAGATGCACCCACATGCACCCACCCACATGCCGAGATACACACACACACACACACACACACACACACACACACACACACACACACAAAGTTGATGCATTTCCAATAAAAACCACTAAATGTTGAGATAACAACATAATGTTAGACTGAATTATGTTCTCAGAACTGTTCTACATTTATGTAGATGTGGTTCCACATAATTAAAACACCAATGCTGTTATTATCACACTCCATATCTATATTTAAAACCTTTATCCATAGAAAAGCAATGTTCAAAAGGAACAGACGATGATTAAGATCTCTTTAGTTCTAGAAATCAAACAATCAATAAAAGTATACTGCCTCTGTCTTTACCAGTGATGAGCTTGGACCCTATTTCAACCATGGTTAATGGACCCATGAAATTAGATAACCTTTAAGTCTAAGCTTTGCTATGAATCTCTTTATGGTGCCTTGGAAAGAATAATAAATTCAGGCTTTGTGCACAGCATTAAACAAACAAAAAACATTTTTCAAAGTACTCAATGAAACTCCCTTGTGTCAACAACAGCCCTGTCTGTGTACTGTAGGTTTAAAAGAAAGCCATCTCTCAAAACCAGGTTTGCAATTGCATAAGCGAGAAACTCACCCTTAGCAACAACCTAGGTTGAGTGCACACATCCAACTCCATGACATGATGAGAAAGTCCCTTTACTCTGGATCTGGCATGTGGACCTAGCTTTGGAGAACATCGTCTAAGGAAAGGAGATCCATTACAAAAAGAAGACAAGAAAATACTAGTATTTCTAAACTGCTGGGAAGCAAGCACAGCTACATATATTTAGTAATGCTTTTATTTCCTATGTTTCATTTAAGTTCTTGGTGCTTAGCTCGAGGCTAAGTCTTAGTCACACAAAGGGATGTGTGGAGCCAACATGCCTACTCAGCACCTGCAAATTCCTGGTAGCAATGAAATGCTACAAAGTCACGCTAAAACCTTTTTAAGATTAAAATGCTTAGAATGTAGGACCATACTTTCATTCTACTTATTAAAAAAATGCCTTTCCATTTTTAACATTTCTCCTTTCACTATAAATAATATAATCCAGTAAGAATTTTATACACTAGTGGTTGATGTATAAAATCGAGGGACTGCAGAGAGAGAGAGAGAGAGAGAGAGAGAGAGAGAGAGAGAGAGAGAGAGA